GGATTTTCTACCGGTAACCATTTTTTAAACGTAAAACCTCTTTATTCGCACCTTTAAACCATTATCTATAAAAAAATTAATTTAGTTTTCTCAGGTAGTCTTGTCTACGCATAACTTAGAAACCAACAGAAACAAGTTCTACTTATTGATCAATAAAAAGTCTCAAAGCATGCCCAGTAAAATCGTATTTCCTAGAATGTAATCGATATTAAAATTATACAGTTCCGAGGCTATAATTTTTCTGGTGCAGCAGATTCTCCAATGAGAGGCATGGTTGTTTTTATCTGTAATTCTATCTTAAGTACTTTCTGCCGAAGCTGTTTGTATTCTTTCTGTCCTAAAAGAAGATGTATAAACGGGTTTTTCATGCCGGCCTCACCCATTGGCACTGAACCGTATAATAAACTCCTATGCTACATTCTCATCTATACGTTTTCGATTCTGATCCTTATCTCCTGGTTCTTGTTTTTGCTATCTCTCCTTTGTGTGATTGTCTCACTTCTTATTTATGCTTGCAGAAAACGAGGCGGTGATTTTTGTGGTGTCGTTGGACGACGTCCAAGGAGTTCTTGTATGTCGACAATTTCTTGGGAGAAAAAGGCCAGTTGTAGTCCAACATTCCAGAAGCTGCGTTGTGTGCTTTTTCCTGAAGAGTAGACTATTTAGTGTAATAGGCAGAAACTTTAAATTTTCAGTAAAATGGGCAGAAACAACATTATTTCAGAAAATATAAATTTGAGATAAAAACTGTTATCAAAAACCTTTACATTGTTGAATAGGTTTGCCGAAAATCTTTGAAAAAATTACAGTAGTCGAATTTTTGAAAGCCAAACGAAGCAGCTACTGAAAACAGAACATAATCAGCATCTTGTTAGAGCGACAGCAAGTTACGTTTTTACTTCAGTTTTAGACTTCGTTTTCAAACCTTCAAACCTTAGAAAAAAATCAGTTATTCATCATAACAGATTATCAATATCCTCAAACTAAAACGAAAGCCCGGTTTGACATTTATACAAGAAAAAGGCTTATCATACAATTTTTTATATGGAGTCTATGCAAAAATGCTTGTCATACAATTTCCATGAAAGAACATTTTTTTTTCTAGATTTACCATTAATTGGATCAAAACAGAAACAATAAATACAAATAAGTGGCAGTTTTGGTGACTTGAAGCAACTTTGGCATACAAAATATTTTTAAAAAAATGTTCATTGTCTAAATCAACAACTAAAATTGTATGATATGCATTTTTATAAGAAAATACAATTTTGAGGTAGTTTTTTATCCCTGTTCTGTTCTAATTTTGCTTCCCTGCTCAATTAAACATTTGACGGAAAAATTTGATATTTTGCGACTTTAACGTAGTCTAGGTTGCGTTTTTCACACTGATAATCAAAAATTACCGAGAGAGTGCTTTTTAGGACACAATGATAATATACTTTTTAATATGCTAAGATAAATCTATTTTGTAAAAAAAACAAGGTTCTTGTCTGGCCTATCAAAGTTTTTAAAGAAACATTTTCCTAGCCATAGCTAATTAGTTACGTTTTTAGCATAAAACTCTGAGTGACATTTTTATGTTTCAATTACATGGCTAACAACGCCAGATGCAGTTGATCTGCGTGAAAACTGCCACTTACACTCTGGGCTTTCCCTAGAAATCTTTGAGTTTCGTGTTTTTGGATGGAACACGTAACATGAAAACACATTTTTACATTCCGAGGCCAAATTGTGCGATCTGTGCATTGTAAATGGATTTCGCAACAAATCAAAATCAGACTTGTCGCGGAGTTCGCATTACTGCTATTTTTCTGTGATTTTCCTCGCTGTTTTGGTTTCCACAAATAAAAACCTACAACAAAGTCCCACTCAAAATTGCTCTAAAAGTTAGCGAAATAGTGAAATCCGCAGCAGTATTTGCGGATTCCGGAACAGATTTTGAAATTCACAAAAAAAGTTGTAAGAAATGTGTATAGCTGAAATTAACTCCTGTGGAACCCGCATTTGTAAGCCGAATCCGCAAATTGTACGCAGAATCCGCAAATAGTTTTTTAGACTCCGCAACATGTCCCGGATTTCATTAACATGTATGTAAGTATGTAGTAGCATATAATTTATATCTTTTATTTACTACGGAATCACAAGCAAGGTGGTCGCAAAATATGTTGAAGCGAGCACGTTTGTTGATCTAAGCAATATTGTTATTACAATACTTCATCAAAAATTATTCTGACTCGAGGTTTCGCGAGGTTTTTGAAATGAATAATTTTTTCACAGATTAGTTTTCAAACTATTTAATGCTATATGCATGCGGGACCGACCTGCCTATTATAGTTACTTTTTTGAGGGACCACTCTATCATATAATGTCTAGGGTGTACACTGGGTGTGTTGTTTCATCTCGTCTCAAATAATGCCCTCACGAATTGAAGTCACTCTCCACCAACTAAATCAGCATTTAGGATTAGTGGGATCCAAAGTACTGACCTAACTCGGCAAAAATCTGTGCGCTCTGTTTCCAAATATCAACATATTAACTCCAAAAAATGAATTTATTCGGTGTTGTGTTTCTAAAACTATGATCCCAAAAAATGCTTGCTGGGATTTTTATCCTAAATACTAAAGGCTAACATTCCCCTATTTAGTTAACCATTGTTTGAAGATTGTTCGTGGTTTCCACTGACAAAAGTTACGTGTTGGCTTTCGAAAACGGCTTTGCTATAGATAAGAATTCCAGCTCTAGCTTTCACTTTTTCTTGAGCAAGTTCAGTAAAAAACCAAATTCGGAGCGTTTTCACAGTTTGCGGAGTCTGCTTACATTTGCAGAGTCTGCTTACATTTGCGGATTCGACTTACATTTTGTGGAATCCATTTACAGTTGCGGAGTCCAGAACAACTAGCTCTATTCGCTTGTTGTGGAATCCGCAACACAACAAATGTGCCGACAAAGTTTACCTTACAGGTATTTGTACGTTGAGTCCACGGAAGTTTTGTAAATAGAATCCGCTTACATTTTGTAACATGTTTCAAGACTTATCTCTGGAATCCAGGAACTTACATACACAAAATTGTGGCCCTATCCAGTGCACAGTTTAGTCTCCTAGTGTTTTGCATTTCATACAGTTTCATAGAGAAATGAAAAAAATGCTTATCAAATAGCTTTATAGTACAAAAAATTGCTCTTGCTAATTTCACTTAATTTTTGTAATACAGAGGATGAAAAAACTTGTTATTTAATTCCAAAATGGGGGAAAAATGCTAATTAAAAAATTTTATAATATGAAAAAAATGCTCATTTTGCTTATTCATACAATTCCCCCACCCATGTCCATTTTCATCAGTTTGATGGTGCAACGAGGGTTTTTGCAAAAATTTTTGTGCAATATTTTACCAAATATGTTTGTCATAGCCTGCTTAGTCCACATATGGTTTTTCGTAACAATCCGATAATGCCAACAAAAATTTACCAGTAAAATTTCACTGGTGGGGAAAGCAAAAAAAAAACAATTTTTTTTCAGTGCATAAAATTGAGCATTTTTGTCATAGTATTGAGTTGTATGAAAAGCATTTTCTGTAAAACCGGGGGTGTTCTGGAGAAAAAACCGCACTAACACAATTTTCAGGTTTTTTTTCGTAGTAAATCTTGTAATTGTTTAGATATTGAGCTATCTAAAAAAAAGTTGAACTAAATTTGATTTTGAAAAAACCCAAGCTTATTAGACAAACTTTTAGAAAAGTGTATGAGAGAGACTATTGAACTAAATTTGAACTTATGAGTCCCCAGCTCCAATTTTATTAGAAATATGGGACGGATTTGCACCAGCAGCTGGTTAAAATGAAAATAGAGCACGTGTTTTATGGCAGAGAAATTACAAAGGTTCATTTTAAAATGTACGTCTTACTCATATGCATATATATACAGAGTATCTTTGAACTGAAAAAAAAATATTTCAATCAATCCATCCAAAAAGCTAACCCAGTTCTTGGCTCATTTTCTATTTTGCGCCATTTCAAGCATCATTTTTATAGTGTAACGAGTGGCTTACCAAAGATGGGTATGCAGAAAAATACTTCATTAATAATCTGATTGTTTCGAAAAAAATGTAGTATTAATAATCTGATAGCTCGAAAAAAGTAAGAATTATAAATTTTTGATGTTTTTTATTCAGTCAAATTTCTGAAAGAGACTTGTGGAGAGAGTATCAAGCCTGGAGCTCTCAGGGGGGCGTGTTATTCACCATCTCAAAGGCCATCTGACCTAAGTAAGCTGCTTGTGTCCTGCAATCAGTGTTAAAGACGAAATAATCGATTATACTGCAATTACAGTTGGCTCTTTTTCCTTCCCCCCCCCACCTGTAAATTTTTACATGTAAATTTGTTGACCACATTGTCCAATTGTTATGAAAATTTACATACAGACTAATAAGGCCACGACAAACATTTTTGGTCTTCATACTCAACCTCGTAAAACCACTCGTTACACTAATAAGTTGAAGCTCGTGTGAGGTGGGGGTGGGAAGGAAAAAGAGCCTTACAGTTGTGCTATCATCAAAATTAAAATTAATTTTATGCGGCGAGTAGATACACAAACTTTTTAAAATCCATTATGGTGATAAAATTTTTTGGTACAAAATGATAAAATCAAATAAAATAGATTTTGATCCAAATACAAAAGATCATGCAGACCATAGATCAAAATTGCAAAAACGTTGTCACGCCAAAAATAATTATTATACTGGATTGAAATTTTGCATTTTTGCTTAAGAAAAAAAACATATATCAAGCTTTACCCGACTTGAAGCAAGCAACTTAAAAACAACACCTTTTTTATACTAAGTTTTGTAGACGCGCCACGGATTTTTTGATGGGTGTCGCGCTGCTCGCGAAAATTTTGTGGGTCGCGCCAATGTAGAGAACAAGTTTTTTTCAATAACAATTGAGTTCTGGAACAAAAGCTACGGCAACTGGTCTCTTTCTTCATTAATCTTCTTTTAAGCGAGAAAAAATGCAAAATTTGAATTCAAAAGGTAGAAGAGTATCGATTCAAAAACATTTAAACCATCGTTAGAGCCCTTCCCATTTCAAACTGAGTTTGACAGTTTCAACCTCAACTTATCAGATGATGAGAATAATGGTTTATTTTTTCGATAATTAACAATTAACCATTTTTAAAATTTCAGTTCGAACTTCGGTTCATTCTACTCGTCGGAACAGCAAAACAATCACGAGCCAATAAGTAGTATTGAAAATAAAAAACGCGATCGGAAACAACACTCGAGAAACTACATCGACATTCGTGGCAGTGCCTCTTGTATCTACAGTCACGTAGGTCGCCACTCGGGACCACAACTCTCGTCGCCTCGCAGCTGACTCCTCAGCAGTCTCGGTTCCATTGACGCGACGTTGACGGACGAATTCGCAGTTGCCCTCCGAATTGTCAGTCGACTTATTCGGTGAGTTGGGTCGCGAGGGCTCTTCGGGTGGTAGAAACAGTGAGTGGGATCCTCGACGAAAGGGTGTCTGGAATCGAACATGTTCCGAACTGGGTTTTGGGGATGTTTGAGGAGTCGGTGGGATGTTCGAAGCTGGTCGGAATCTCGGCTTGTTGAAATAATCGGCGAAAGCGAATTCAATCATAGCAGCAATCACGAATGTGAAACAGAACCAGATGTAGATGTCACATGCCGTGGTGGACTGGATGATGACCTCGTTGCGACTGTAGTTAGTCTGCGAGGCCAGAGTCAACATCGTCAGCACAGTTGTAACTCCAATGCTGAAAAGTCTTGATCAGATTTCATTGTTCGGTTTAACGCTTTTGCTAACACATTTATGTTATTTAGTATGCTTATAATTAGTATTATGATAAGTTCTTTGACGCTCAAAAATTCTGTGAAATTGTTCATTTTTGTAAAAATAAAAATAAGTAATAAATAGAAAAGGTTGGTTTTGAAAATCCTTTAAAGAGCTTTTTGACCTTTCATTATCTTTTCAGATACATTTTTATTCAGTCTAAAATTGTTCTGTTTTGTCAAATCTTCGTTTCGATAGAGTTTCTCAGCTGCAAATCTATTTCGATTGAAGTTTTGACCAGAATTTTTTTCGTTTAAAAGCTTACCTAGCGCGTGCAGGAGTGGAGTTGCGGTTTATATAGAATCCGAGCCAAGACAGCATCACGATGAGAGCAGCAGGGGCGAACACCTAAAGAGTAAGAAACAAACGGAAGAAAGAAAGAAAGAAATTTATTTCTTTCATTCAAAAATATGCACATCAGAGTTTTATACATAGATCAGTTTTATACATTCATGCAATATCATTGACCAGAGCGGATACTAAATCGGCTTTTTGGTCGCTGTGTAGTGCCCTAAAACATAGTATTTCAGTAGTTCCTAAAACAGTTATTGTTATTCAGTAATTAGGATGTATTTTAAACTTCAGTTTTTTTTAGAAGTAATTAAATGCGTCTAGATTCTTGGATATATCAAGAAACTCTTTGTATTTGGAGTGAAAGTCTACAATGCCTAAGGAAAAAAAATCGTTTTTTTTTTTGAACTAACAGATCAACAATATATCATCAAATGAATTAATGGATAGACAACGGGGTCTGTTGATCCCTTATCGTCTACCCTTGATATCCAAGGCAATCCAAAAATTCATAAAGAATTAAAAAGAAAAAAAATTTAAATGATTTTTTTTCTACTTTTATATAAAAAAGTCGAAAAATTTTATTTCTTTAAAGCTTTCTTAAAGTCAGCAAAACTTTTTGAGACAATTGGTGAAGTTTGACTTAGTTTTCGAGCCACAAAAGTTTAAGAGTGCACTTTTACTGTATCTGGAAGGCAAAAAAATCTACTTATCGACAGCAAAATGAGCAGCTAAAATTCAGTCGGTTTCTTTGATCGCTTCAAATTACAAAAAAATAACACGTTTAAAATTATGAAAGCCATTGATTTGAAATATTAACAAAAAATTGGACTTACCATATTCTGCCAGGTTATGAAAGGCTTCCTCATAAATTTTTGCCTAGTATTATTGTTAAGTTTGTGTTTTTTGAAAATATAAACAAAAATATAAACACTACCTACAAAGCACGAAAAAGAATGTTTGGAAACAAAATCCATAACATGGTCTGATTACTTACTTTAACGCAAAACTACCTCCGCTAGAAACAAATTTACGAAACGAGATAGCAAGCCTAGGATATATTACATCATCGAATAACTGCGTAGTAACAGTTAAATAAAATAATGGTGATGGGTATCCAACATACGTGCCAGTAAAAAGCATGTAGCAATTGCAAAAACTGAAAATCCCCGATAAAAAATGATAATACATCAATGGAGAGATAGAACGTTCTAACAAAAAAAGGCCTGCTGCGTCATTAAGAGATGAAGAACGTATCAGTCGCTTCTACGCAAATTTATCGCCTGATCAAAAGAAGCATGCAATGGAGAAGTGAAAACACACTGATGTGAACTGGAAAAAATGAGACTGCTAACTCATGATAATTTGGATTAATTATCAACAAAATTAGGCATGTTCTGATACATTTAGCAAACATACACTGCTTCGGTTATATACAGGCAAAATCGAGTTTTTGTAATTTTTTGCTTAGTTTTGATCTGGCATCACTTATTTGTTTCTCAAAGCTATTCTCAAGGTAAAAGTGCCTGGGCGTATTTGTGTTCTTTGATAAAATTTTATGGAATTATAAACAACAAAACAAACAGATCTTTTGAGTAGCGATTTGGTTTTTCCGGAAAACTACGGGTCGGGAAAGCGTATTCAACTGAAAATTTTATCTATTTTCACTTTCGAATAAAAAAGTTACAATTTTTTGTTTCTAATGAAGAATCTAAACAGCTGCGGGGATGCGACTTCAAGCCTCTCATGGCTCTCTTCATGTTAGAAATTAGCATGCGTAAACAAAAGTCTGCTAAAACTTGATCGCTTGTTTTTCATCGGTCATACAACAACTCCCTCCGGTAAATTGGGTAAGTAAATAAAACGTGTTGCGATTTTCTGGTTCGCCTATCATTAAAGATGTAAAGCAGGAACTTGAAAACAATGAAATAAGTTTCTGCTACCACAAATCAACTTTAGTTCGAGAAAAGTGCAGTATAACAGATTATCTGAATAAAGGAAAAACTAATGCAATACTGAATTGTTTCAAAAGTTAATTCTATTTTTAAAAAAAATAAGAAGTTTATTCTTGGAATAAGTATTTGCGATTTTTTGATCAACCTTGTTCTCAGATGCTTTGCTTTCAAGAAAAATTATAGTGAAGAAAAGAAATTCCATGCTTTTCTTCTTTAGCATAGATCATTTAGGCTCTGAATGCAAAAACTAATTAAAATTTGCAATAATTTTTTATTGTACTGTAGAAGAGGTTAGTATTACGGTTTTCTGCATCTGTCAAAGCTTTGATGTCTCTGTTCGACAAACAAATAATCGGATTAAAAGACTTAACATCTAATTGTTTCAACAACCCTGCTTGTTTATGTTTTTTTTCCAGGCTATGCACTTTTGTGATGATTTTTCAACTAAATAATCATCTTAACTGAACAAAAAAAATCCTCGAAAAGGTCATTAAAATGGCAAAACTGAAATCTTGAAGCAACAGCAATGAAAACTACTATTAAAAAAATCTAACAAGATTTTTTTCGTCGAACACTAGACCAATGAATCAAAAACTTGATTAAATTATGGGTTTGTTGAACACGAAAAGTCTACCATTAGTAATTGCGATTACAGAGACGTGGCTCAATGACGACGTCGAAACCCTTCAGTTTTCGTTGGAAACATTCATCCGATTAGGGCGACTAACAGATTGCGGGGAGGAGGTGGAGTTTCTAAAAACTCAGAGATGGAGTTGCTTATAGAAATTAAAAATGTTTGATAAAAGGCCTGCAATTGCAAATACAAACGATTGAAATCAAAATCGATAGAAAAATCTCCCTCGTACATAAAACACTATACGAAGCACCACAGCCAGATGAATTCCTTGATTTGCTCGCTGAGTACATAGCATAAATGAAACTGCAACCAAAAAAATGTATATTTTGTGCGGCGATTTTAACATTGACATGAAAGAACAACAACGTGTCCAGTCTAAAAAACACTCTCAGAACATTTGATCTATAACCTGTCAATGATCTTAAGACTACCAGAGATACGGAAACAAGTTCGACTTGCCTTGATTTGTTTTGCAAATGCTTATGCTGAAACTAACATAGAGGCCATTAATATATCGGATCATCACTCAATTCAATTGACTTCCAACAAAACCATTAATCAGAGCAATAAGGAACCAATTAAAGTTTGGAAACAACCATTAAATTGTTTAGAAAACGATTATTTTTAATTGAAAGCAAATTGGTTCTGGGATAAATTTACAAAAATAAAGAGACTAACTTACTAGAGCATTTGAACATGGTTGACAACTGGAATCTTTTAATCAAAAGCATAGCAGAATATTCCAACAAATACATTCCAAAAAAATTAGAAAACAAATTGTTCCATTTGAGAAAAACTGGGTCACACAATAGTGAGAAATGCTTGCAACAAAAAAAGAGCTTTTACTACCGCTATAAAAAAGTACATCGACAGAAAACAAACTGTCACTTGCAAAAATAAATAAGCATGTTTAACTAATTTGTTGCAAAGCCAAGGCTACACACTATCAAAATCAAATGCAATCAAATTCAAAAATCAACATGAAAAAAGTTTGCAGTAAAATTAATGAAATAAAAAGCAAAAACTTCAGGCAAGCAATAAAGAAGTATACGTCGCCTGAGGAATTTAGTTCCTATTTTGCATCAACTGGAAAAAAATTATCAGAACGGTAAAAACTATCTGCCAGTTCAAGTACTTTACACCAGCTCAAGTACCTTACAAGTTCAAGTACCTTACAACTACATTACACCAGTTGAAGGAATTTACAAGTTCCTGTTTATTGGATTAAAACCATACATATAATTGCTTTTAAAATCGTTATAAATTATTTTGTTTTCAGACAAAAAAATTAATTATAATCAAATTAAAATCTTGTATAACGAGTTATAAAATTTTGTATTATTTACAAACTTTTTGCGAAGTTATTCGCAAATTTTGCTTCATACTACATAACTCACAAACAACTCGAATTTTAAATATTTTTTATTGGTATTTTACATTTAACAACCTCATCAACCTTAACAACCTCAACCTTAACAACGACCTTTAAAAGCGTCTTTTACTCAAACACAGGTGTGCCTAGAAAATAGTTGCAATTAACTGCTCATGTGAAAATCAAATATTTTATTTCTAGTAACGCAGCAATAAACTAACTATTTGCGGAAAATTAAAAAAAGCTATTACTAAAATTTTGCAAAAAACATATGAACATTTTTTCTCTGTATTTTTATTTAGGGAAGCTCCAAATATCATACAATTTCTGACACTGGTGTTTCACTCCAAAAACTGTGGTTGACTTTTAGAAAGCACTTTTTTTTAGATTGAGAGGCTTGATAGTCATTTGATGGGTTTTGGCTGCCAAATTTTCGTCCGGGAATGAAAGTTCTGTCGGAAAATTTTCGACAATTTCTTATTGAAAGGTTTCAGTGCCAGTTTTTGAACTAATCGCTTACCTAGCTTTTTTTCGTCAACTCCTTCAATGTTAGAACTTATCGCAGACTTATGGTATCAACTCCCTCAATTCTGCATCTTCGTTGTCCAGAACATCTTTTATCTCAAAAAAAACGACTGCGCATCGTAAAAGCACCAGACCACCTCGTAGTAAACCGTAAAATCAGTTTTAGGCTCGTTTCCTGTCGGAGAATGGCCGATTTTTTCTAATTGAAAGTTTTTCCATGATTCCATTGATCTTATTCAGTAAATCTTCATGTGGCTAAATTTAATTGATGGCCTGCATGCAAGATTAGGTTCTACGTTTCCCTAAAAATAAGAGAAATAACTGCAAAAATATTGCAACAAATGGGCAGAAAAATATGTATTGCAATGAAAATCTCAGTAAAATTAAATTTTTTTTTTTCAACACAACGCTATATATTTATACATTTATTTATTGGGCCTCCCATAACTGCTCACAAGCACCTCCCTCTGCACTTAAAAACACACACACTTACTTGCCCATTTTTCACACTTACGCCGTCACTCACCATGCTACCTCGCTATCCACTCCTACCCGCTTTTACAACTCGAAAGGTAGCAACTCTAGATAGATAGCAACGCAAAAACTAAGTAACATTTTCTCTACACGTATCAAAAAAAAACATTAACCTAACATTTACAATGTTCAAGTTATGAAAACATTCACTCTAAAAAATGAACATGTAATTTGTCACATATAGAATGATAAACATGTAAATTTACATGAAACAAAACGTAGAAACACATGTGTCAAATAACATGTGCAAAAACACTTGTAGAAATCACATGTTTTTTTCACATGTTGAATTTACATTATTAAAGTAGAAGGAGTTTTTGATGTAAAGTCTCAACTTTGATGATTTTTTGACTGTCTGCAATTGATGCCCGGGTCGAGGTCTCAGACTCGACTCATGTCCAGACTTTCGTTTCAAAATTTAGGCATGTCCTGATTTTCCAGACCAAAATTAGGCATGTTCAGACTTTAACGACCAAAACTTGAGTTTTCCAGACTTTCGCGACCATGATGATCCGTCGCGACTTTCGCGACCGAAGCGGAGGTGGCACGACCAAAACATCGCGACTCAAATTAGGTATGTCCAGACTCTCGTGACCAAGAGTTGCATTTTCCAGACTTTTGCGACCGAAAAACTCAGGCGCGACTTTCGCGACCGATGCGGATACTGACGGTGCGACCCTGCGGCTCAGGAAACGGCGTGACCGGCGCGACCAAACTTAGCAATTGACTTGTGCTATAAAGTTTCACCATCTCAGAAAAAAAAGATCATAAGTCATTATTGTCGATTACAGCGGAATAAAAGATTACAGAGTTTTTAAATTGAAGAAAAGTTTTGGCAGAAAAATCTATGACAACAAACTATGTTCAATTTAACATGGATTTTATCGCTTTAACTTTTAATAGAATAGCTTTGAAGATTAAAAATGTATCGAAAGTGCTGGAAAATTGTTTTTTGAGAAAATGTCGATTACAACCAACTATAATAAATTTAAAAGTTGCTACTAATCCTTATAAAAATAGCTGCACTACTAGTACGATACAATTCAAATCAACTAAATTACATTTTTTTGAAAATTTTGTTGTGCATGATAATAAAATGACAATATGATTGACAATTATGAGGGGGTGCCAATGTGAATAAACTGCTGGTCAAATAATTTTCTCTTAAAAATATTGTAAGAAGCTTGTGATAAACTTTCATACGGGGCGTTTTTCCTGTCAAAATTCTGCCTGCGAATTAAACTTCTGGCGGAAAATTTTTGGCAATCACTCACTCGATATTCTATGACCTCGCTGTTTATCCAAACTGTGGATTTCTATGATTAATGGTTGGAATTTGTGGCGCGTGGAATAGGGGCATACATAACAGTAGGGCGACGCTCCTTCTTTAGGGGTTCGACGCCTGCCCACCAAAAAAGTCAAGCTTCGGTACAGTTTTACAACATTCATTTTGGTCAACCAACTCTTTTTTCAATCGAGTTGTTAAAAAAGTTGAGGGGTGAGAACTTGAGCGGTGAGGTGAGAGAGCTCAAGTTTCAAGTTTGTTTTGTAAAAATTTACAAAATGAGCTCAAAATCGACGATATTGGTCTGTTCTTCAATAGAAGTTATACACTGCTGATTTAGATTAACCGGACAAAACGCGGTAAACTTGAAATTTAAAACGTGTTTTTCTCAAATTGGGTTGAGTTTAGGTGAAAGCTTATGAAGACAAAACTTGCTTAAAATTTTAGCAGAATTAATATGGTGTAATTTGTTTTGCGAAATTCGGGCCCAACAATTTACCCCAAAAATGGGCCATTTTGGCTTTTTTGAGTTATTCGAAAATTACGCAAAAAAAAATGAGTCAATCACAGATATAATTACGTTAAGGTGAGCCCCTTACGTAGCGCAACAAATTTTATGAAATGTATATTCTCCAAAACATTGTATAAGTTAATTTATTTTTGTTTGATAGACAAAAAAGATCGTTTTTACTATATAAAATACCAACTTTTTATTTAAAAACAATTTTTAAACGGATTGCAATTTTTTTAGAGAATATAACCTTCTTAAAGTTTGTTGCGCTACGTAAGGGGCTCACCTTCACGTAATTGTGTCTGCGATCGACCTGTTTTTTTGGCGTAACTTTTGAATAACTCAGAAAAGCCAAAATTACCCATTTTTGGGGCAAAATGTTGGGCCCGAATTTCGCAAAACAAATTACACCATATTAATTCTGCTAAAATTTTAAGCAAGTTTTGCCTTCATAAGTTTTCACCTAAACTCAATCCAATTTGAGAAAAACACGTTTAAAATTTCAAATTTAACGCGTTTTGTCCGGTTAATTTAAATCCGCACTGTAGTTGATTTAGAAAAATCAACATCGCGCGAACAACGTGGTAAAAAGTTCGGAAAATAAATTGAAACTGATTCTACTGCGAACATAAAAATCGAATACAGAAAGCAGCTACATGTTTTTTCCAGTTGCTCAGCAGGACGACACTGAAATTGTTGTCTGTCATATACAAAAAATGCAAAAAGTTTTGGCGCGAGCACACCCAAAATTTAACAAGGGCTGCAAAAATTGTAACTAGAGATTAAATTAAGCCACCATGGTTTTTGAATGTGACGTGATATCACAGTTACATCATGAGAAAGAACATTTTAATTTTTGTGGCCGGCTAAAAGGTCGCTATTACTCTTTGTTTAATTTTATTTTAGTTTTGATCACCAAAATAGGGGACAATTCCAGTTGTTTGTGCTCTTGTGGGTAAAAAGTGAAAATAATTAGAAAGAAAATCTCAAGCTGGTCTGATTTGATTGTTTATGCTCGAGGACATAGTTACTCGTTACGTTGCTGATGTCATACCATTTGTCCGCAGAATTTTGAATTTATCAAAACATCTGACTGCTTGTTTCACAATGCAAGTGCGCTCTGCGAATATTCAGGAATTTGATCTCAGAAATTGAAAAAATTATCCAAAACTTGCCATTTATATCAGTTGAGGATATCAGAACTAGAATCAATTTTAGAAACACTCATTTAGGATGATTTTTTGAGTGTTTTGTAGTTTTTCAGGATGAGAAGTCTGTAGACCCAAAGTTTGGAAAACTGAAAAATGTTGTTTTTAGATGAAACGCAATAATGTCAAGACGAGGGGAGCGCATACTTTAAAAAAATTGAGATCTGGATCAAAAAATTATATAAGGCTGAAAACCTTCCTCGGAAATACTTTATCTGAAATGAAACGTTAGGAATCGGAAGCTTTGGTTGTCGACGAATTCTTAACTCAAACTACATGCTTCGATTGCTCTTTGCTGTAATGTAATTTAAAAATTTCATAAATCAGTGTTTTTTGAATGACTATCTGAAAAGAATGAAATTTTTTTCACAATCGAATTTTTGTATTTGGTCTGGTAAACAGCCATTCTGCTAAAAGATGGCCTTTCTTCACCAGTTTTCTGTTGTTACATCGCATTGGCAACAATTTATTCGAGTTGAAAATTGATTTCAAAATGATTTGAATCAAATTTAGTGGTGGAAATAGCGTATTACCAGGTGAAAAACTTAATAATTGTTCCGACCGTTTGAAAAATGTTGAGAAATTTTGTATTCGGGTGTTTTATTTTTTTCTGATTTTTTTTTTCATCTGGTTTTCCATGCAAAATCAAGTAGCACAAATAATCATCGGAATGGGTCAAGTGATATATTATATTAAGGCCCTTTAAGTCATGATTCGAACGACATCAAAAGTTTTCCATGAAGGCTGAAAATTTTCCGAAACGACTAGCCAAAAATCATTTTTTTCCAATCCCACTTTTCCTCATAAAAACTCCTGCCTCAAACCAAGTCAAATATATGATTTCAAACCAACGCACTCCCCTTAATTTTTTGTTTCCTGTAACTTTAATAGAGAATCAAGCATACCTGTACGAAGAAGGAAGACATGTTCCTTCCGAACTTGATGTGGACAAAGAGGGTGGAGAAGTTGCCCATCTCGTAGCCCACGAACGACTCATTGTGCTCGATGGAGAGGAAGTTCATCGTCAGGTCATCCAGGTTGCGGGTGGGAAAGATGATGCCATCCTCCTTCTTCCACCGGTACATTATTTCTAGGCAATTTTTATGATTTAGAAAACGGAAAGTAAGAACAACAAGCAAAAGGAAAAAAAAATAAGAAAAAGAACAAGAAGCAGATGGCGATGAAAAAGAACACAAGAATAAGACGACGAAGAAAAAGAAGAAGAAGAAGAAGAAGAAGAAGAGAAGTAGAAGAAGAAGAAGAAGAAGAAGAAGAAGAAGAAGAAGAAAAGAAGAAGAAGATGAAGAAGAAGGAGAAGAAGGAGAGAAGAAGAAAAAGAAGAAGAAAAGAAGAAGAATAGAAGAAAAAAAAGAAGAAAAAGAACGGAAGAAGAAAAAGAAGAAGAAGGAGAAGAAGCCGAAAAAGAAGAAGAAGAAGAAAAAATATATAAGGAAGAAGAAGAAAAAGAAGAACACAAGAATAAAACGAAGAAGAAGAAACAAAAAGATGAAAAAGAAAAAGGAAAAAAGAAGAACACAAGAATAAGACAAAGAGGAAGAAAAGAAGAAGAAGAAGAAGAAGAAGTCGAATGGCCGACATTGTCAAGGTGGGATACATAATCCCGTTGCATAAAAGAGGTGCAAAAGACAACCCTGATAAATTCCGAGGAGTGGGCTTGTTATCTATGATTAGCACGATTAAGAGACTCAGAGACTGGAGTGAAAAGTTCGGGAAACGAGATGATAACCAATATGGTTTCCGAAAAAACAGATTTACAGCTGACACGACCCAAATAATGATCAGACCACTGAAGACAATCGAAGGATATGCGAAAGCGAAAGTCTGAACAGAGTTAGAGCGTGTTTTCTAGATTTATGGCAAGCAAATTGAGGAGTCAACCGATCTCTAGTTAGGAAGATCATGGAAATGGGCATGGAAGTGACTTTTTTGGTCTGAAGGACCTGCATGAGATAACAGAATACAAGTTGAAAGGGAACGAGGAGCTCAAAGTTGATACCACAGCGAGGGTTGAGGAAAGGATGCCCTTCTTCACAATTACTTTTTATTATCTTTCATCAGATTACTTTGAGAGATGCAGAAAAGCAGCATAAACACAATGGTCTGAAACTATTGTATATACCCAACCATACATGCATGATACAGCAAAAAGATAGAAGGACTGCTGAAGCAAAACACTTAACGCTGAAGTACATCTTGTTTGCCGACGACAGCAACAATGGAAAGCATGGACAACACGAGAAATTTTACCAAAAGAGTCATTGGTCTCTTCAAAGAGAAGAAAAATGAAAGAAAAGAGAAAAATGTAACACTGGGTGAAAACAGTGCTGCAGAGACCAGATTGTTAAACGTGTGGCCAGCTTAGTCAAAATATGCTAAAGTACGCATCCAATGCGGATTGGGGGCTTGACATAAGGTCAAAAAGTCTCTCAATAACTCACGACAAACAAAAAGGATGCAAGCACGAGTGATAGGCACGGTAGTACAAAACACCAAGTTGTTCAATGACCAATTACGCACATAGACAGTATCAGAAATCATTAGAATACAGGTTAAATTAGACAAATTTTATCGATATTTGTGGAGTTCTAAGTACGCGTGTGGAGTTCTAAACGATATGTGTGGCGTTGTAAGAATCAAGCCTAAAAGAAAAGGAAACAAAACAATAAAAAGAGATTGAACGTGAGAAAAGAACTTCACCTTATATCAATCCAACTGAAAATAGAAAAAGGAAGTATGGAAGGACTAGGACCCAGGTTACAAATACCCATTGACAAAAGAGTAACGAAAGTAACCTCCAATTCGCTAAACAAGCTAGAAGAAGCTTGAAACCCGAACACGAAGTATCGATGTACCTCTAGACACTGGATCAAGATAATGTGTGAGACAAGCGTGGACCAGCTAGAGATGAAAGACAACGCTATGAACAGGAAAAACTGGAAAGCGATAATAAGGAATTGGATGTCTTACTTGGAACTTTGGAAGGAGTTGCTGGAGAAGGGTTGGGAAGGAGATAAAATCGAGCGATCACAGCGAACCAAAAGAATTAACAGTGAGCCTGAACAAGGCAAACGAACACTCAACTTGAGACCTGGTATAAAGACACGTACAAGGAGAAAACACACGGTAAACGAGAGTGAACGCATGCAAAAAATGTCAAGCCAGCTTCACGTAAAACTAAATCTGAAAAATCACGATAAGAAATGCTCTGGTAAAACAATATGTTCCATCAACGAAAGAATGTCCATTTTGCAGAAAAGTTTTTTCAGCAGAAAACCTGGGTCGGCACACAGGGTGATACAGAGCGCTTTAAGGAAGAAACTAAAATGGCGAATACTCGAGAGAAAAGGAGAGAAGAAGGAGAAGAAGAAGAAGCAGAAGAAGAAGAAGAAGAACACGAAAAGAAGTTGATGATCAAGAGGAGAACAATAAGAATAAGAAGAAGAAGAATAACACAAAAAGAAGAAGAGGAAAAATAAGATGCGGAAAAGAAGAAGAAGATCAAGAAGTGAAAAAAGATAGAACAAAATGAAATACTGTTTTGAGCTAACCGTTAGCAGTTATGTGAGAAATATGGCAAAAGACAAAATTTATGTCAATGGTGTAGGTTTATCATCAAGAAATTATTTAACTAATCATGAATACTCTTCCAAAACCTGAACTTAACAATCACTCAAGCTTTTAGCAATGCAAGATTGCTTTTATGATTGAGAAAAATGACGCATCATACGAAACTACTCAGCTCTCAACGATTAACCGTTGTTGACTCCTGATAAAAAAAAAAACAGATCTTTTTGCTGATTCTTTCTGACCGTGAAACGCTACCTCGCTCTTAAGCTAGATGCGAAAATCATGCGGCCTCGATCTGAAATAATTTTATATACTCTCTCCACAACTTATCAAGGTTTTTTGAAACTACTGACCTTCTCTGACCCAATTGATCAAACTATTAAAGCGGAAACTCGCTGATAACTTTAAATCGCCGAAATAGACTCTTACACTGCCGACTACGTAGCCAAAACGAACCAATGTCCCGAATACCATTACACTTGAGCCAAATAAAATAGAGATGAGTGAAACGCAGTGATTGATTACAATTTGCCCAAGCAGTGCGTATTTGATCTATTATTTATTTTTTATGTTAGCTTTTGCTAAATTTTGACTATCTCAGGGGATAGTTTTTCGGGAGGTGGAGCAATAAGCAGAATGGTCGAAGTTCAGAATGTGTAAAGACCAGGAAAACAGAAAAATATTGACTTATATTGGTTTATACGGGCTAAATGATTAAAAAATAACTAGAATCGCCAAAAAATACCAAGAGAATGAATAAATTACGCTTGAAATTAAATAATTTCATGGTTTTTTGATAAAAATCGTAAAAACTCTTGATTAAAGTAATCAAAATATGCTTGAAATGTTGGCTATACTTAGTATTTTTGACACTTCTGATAATTAATTTACCGATTAGCTTATAAAAGTTGATATTTTTCTGTTTTCCTGCTCTTGGACCCATTCTGCTCTTAGACCCTTCTGCTTATTGAATGACCACTGTTTTTCTGCGCACTAGACTCTGTGATACTCCCCCTTTGCTAATAAATGCTGTTTCATTAAAGCGCAATGTCAGTCTTTCACTCTGAACTATTTGACGCCTCAGGCAATAGGAAATATGATATGCAGCGACTTTTTCATGGCTATTACGCATTCAACAAAATTTCCCCAATGAATCAAAAATTTTATTTGGTCAGTGAATATTCGAAGAAAAAAAACAGAAGATTGCTCGTATCAAGACATGGGTATATATTTATCCATATCCCAATTTTTTAAAATGAAAAAGTAATTTTTGTTTCCAAAAACGGAAAAAAACTTTAAAAAAATAAAAATTGTTTTTTTTTCTGGCGTTTTGGTAAACTTCTCCAACAATTTATCCAAAACATAAGTGGATATGTTTACAATCTAATAAAGATTTGGATAAAACATAGCAGCTCACTTCATACCAAATGAACTTTACAAGCACCAAAAATATTGTGCGTTATTTGTCCGAAAATGGGCAAATTGGCAGTTTTCAAATTATCATAAATTACTATATACTATATGAACCCCAATATCTTTGATTGATAAAACGTTTCTGCTGAAAATAGCTAATAAAACTTGAAACAACTCAGAAAAAGAAAACCACAAAGCAAAAAATTTCTGTCAATATCTTCGAATATCGGAATCATGAATTTGGCTTAAGAAAAATCTAAATTGGGTTTTCTGCACGTTTTTATCATAGTTTAATATGGTTTAGCAAGAACTGGATGTCACATTCGTTCAAAAGGTTGATCAAACTCAATTCATCTAAATGGTGACACTGATTCCTAGATGTCAGTGAAAATGGAATTCTGTATTGAAAAACTACCGTTTGATCGATGAACACATTAAGAAACTCTTGTTCGCAAACCATATTATGTGAGCAAATATCACCAACAGATCACGAACAAATTTTTTTGACCTTAACAAGCCTATAAAACACCGCTGTTTTTTAAACTTGTCATAAAAAACTGACAAAGTAAAACAAACAAAAATTAAAAAATACTCAAAAAAAACATACTGAATCAAAATAAAATACTGTTGTAGCGCAATGTCTGTCTGTCACCCATAAAGAATCAACGCCTCAAGCTATAGGTAACATGATACGCCGCTACTTTTTCATGGCTATTACGCATTCGAAAAAAATTCTATGGTGCATCAAACTTTTTTTTGGTCAGCAAACAATTACAAAAAATCAGAAGATTGCTCGTATGAAGACAAGAGATTTAGTGGGTCGATTTCCCGATTTTTTAAAATGAAATAGTGGTTTTTGATTCCAAAAATGGAAGAGATTTCATGACAGAATGAAGTTTTTTTTGGCGTTTTAGTAAACTCCTCAAAAAATCTAGGTAAAAATTAAGTGGACATTTTCAGAGTCCAATGAAGGTTTAGAAAAAACATAGAAGCTCGCTTTATTCCAAATGAACGTTACAGCCACCAAAAAATTGTGCGTTATTTGTCTGAAAATGGCCGAGTAAGCAGTTTTCAAATCATCATGATTTA